TCAGCAGACTTTGGTAAATTGTTATTGCTCATCCATACTCTAATTTTTTTTTTACAATCAGGAGACCAACAATGTCGACGGCCTGTGAAAAAGCAACACAACCGGTTGTAATCCCACTGAGCCTTTGTCATACTCGGTTTATGATGCACCTTCTACATACCACCACTGGGTGATCAGTGTTTGATGTAACTCTTGACCCAATGTGATACCTCCAATATGTTGGCATAACCATAAATTTTATAAGAAAGTTTATTATTGGTTGCGATGATTGTTTTTGTATAAAAATCCTTCGTTGGTTTAACCTGTGCATTATGGGATATATTCAGCTGCGTTTTGTCATTGCCGTTATGTCTGGGTAGAGATTTCTAGTGCATTTGTTGGAACAGTTTTAAAATGGCTGACTGGTGCAATCGGATGACTTGGGGGAAAACTGGATGGAGTAGGTTTCTTGAAGATGTTTCACCTCTTGTCCAACAGGCTACAAAAAAAAAAGTGTTGTAATGGATACTTTAAAACAAAGTAATCAGGTCTGCCTGAATCTTTATATGGCAACTCACTCTGTATTCTGAAGACAACAAGGAAACTTAACCCTAGTGGCAGGTATGGGTAATGCTTTCAAACTTCCATTTTTAGGTTGTTTAAGAACATAGTCCATATAAGTTATTACAAAAGTCAATAGGTCCAAGGAAAATTGTAGTAGTGGTAATGATTTTTGATTTTTTTTTTTTTTTTTACTGAATTGTATTTGCAGTAAAACCTCAAACTCAAACCATTCACCAATCATTTGAACCATATAGCACCAATTGTTAAAAGAAAATCCCTGGCTTTAATGATGCACGTTATCTGATCAGCTTGACCCAATTTTGGCAAAATGGAAGCTACAGAGAAGGGAAGGAAATGAAATGATTAACCGCGGATAGAGGGGGGTTGTTGCAATCAGGTTGATTCATCTCGTCTGTTCCAGAAGCCATATGACCTTAAAATGACGTCACTGGGCCATAATGACGTTCATTACAAAATAAAAATGGCAATGGGTCGGGGCAGCACACATGAAAGAAACAAGCTCTCACCGCGTTTTTATATTTTACCATATTTTTATTACATACTTCTCCACCAGGTGGCAGCAAAGGGTTATAAAAAAAAAAAAAATAAAAACAAAAAACAGACTCTACTGTTGACAATCTTTGTTTCTTTTCCACTTTGCCACCTTAAAGATTCTCTAAGGTGGCTTGCCCAGATACCTCAATGGATGGGTGCCAAACATAGGGCCCGTGGGCTAAAACCAGGCCCACTTGAGGTTTCAATCCGACCCACTTGAACTGAACTGAAATGAGTTTGAAACCCCTGCCTTAAAGAATCTTTACGGTGGTCTGGGCATTGACTCCCGGCTTGGGAGTCAAGATGTCTTCCCAGGACACGGCTGTCTTTCCTTATCAGTCTGTCCAGCCTCTTCCTCTGTTGTATACATGCAACTGGCGCATTAAACCACACCACAAAGTCTTAAGGAGTGCTCCATGCACCCCCGAAAGACCTCGGTCTCCTCGGCTAGTACAGTCTGTTATGTTCTTTTGGGTCGTCTTGCATCATGTTTCCCGGGAGTTTTACGAATAATGTATATTGACTTGGGTCTCGAAAGGTTTGTGACTTTTAAAATATGGGATCCCCAGACAAAAGATTCGAAGTGTTCAGGATGAAGAGGAACAGAGCCAGAACAGTTCTCTGCGGTCCCTAGTCTTCACATCTTGGGGTTGGTTGGTTGAGTACTTTAGAACAACGGTCCCTAACCTTTTTTTTTTAACCAATGACGGGTCAGCGATCGTTGGAGGATCATTAGAATTTACAAAATAAAACTATTTTTATTAGACTTTATGCTGTTATGTCAAAGTCTGGATGACATATTATTTGGAATTTTCGCCAGATTATCTTTGAACGAGGAAAGTGGATGTGACTGGACTCTCTTTGAACGAAGTAAATTAGTAAAAATGAAGTACTATTTTTCATTGTGTGCCCTCACAGTGGCCCCGGTTTCAAACAAATTTCTCATGGACCGTGGACCTTTTTGTGTGGTGGTACTAAACGTAAAAATCGAGAAAATCAAATGTTTTCAAAATGTGGTGGATAGGTCACTTGCCTGTCTTGTAAAACGGAACCCGTATCATCAGTTCCTTCTTGCGTCTGCCTACTTTAGTACAGGATGCACAACACTGGCTCTCTCCGTGGCAGCAGTCTCGAGAGGGTATAAGGAAGTGGAGAGGTTTTGTTCGCCACTTTCTTCTTGAAAGTTCTGAACCCTTTCTCCGCTGTGGACAGCGATATTGTCAAGAAGTGGTTTTCCTCCATTTTTAGTGGTTTGTTTTTTTTTTTTCTTTTTTTTAACACAACGTACAGCAGAAGTTATTGGAATCGTTTTTACTTAAATGATTCCGTTCACTTCCAACACTGCTTGTTGGTAAGTACAATTCTAAATTTGAATTTAAGTTTTTTTTTTCATTTAATTGTGGAAAATATGCAAGTGAGCGATGCCAGTGATTTATTCTAACCCGTTGGTATTGGAGTTTGCATGTTGTTTACTGCTGGTGCTGTAGTTTCCTCACACGGTCGAAAAGCTGTGAGTGTGAACTATGTCAACAGTTTTTGTGACCCTGCGATGTGACTTCTACGATTGGCTTATTTTTTATATTGAATATTTTAGACTTTATTCTGTTAATATTGGAGCCTGAAATTTTTAAAACAGTACTTCTCAAATAGTGGGGCGGGGGCCCCCGGAGGGGCATGGTGAAGTGCTAGGGTGTTGGGTATGAGAGGTTTATATTTCCAACGGAATATGGCACGCTGGAAAGAAAGTTGCTTGAACGATATACAAGCCTCCAGTCACTAGGTGGCAGCAACTCATACAGTGGTTTGTACAGATAAAAAAAATACTATATATGTCATCAGGCTCTCATGTAGCTTACGATGTACAGTGATACCTCTCCTATCGCGGTAGTTGCGTTCCAAGACCCACCGCGAAAAGGGAAAATCCGTACTACATATGTTATCAGGCTCTCATGTAGCTTACGATGTACAGTGGTCCCTCTCCTATCGCGGTAGTTGCGTTCCAAGACCCACCGCGAAAAGGGAAAATCCGCGAAGTAGAGGCGAGATAGTTATTACATTATTAACGTATATATATATTTACTCTTTGCAAACCTTCCCCCCCAGGGCAGTGTGAACGAGTGGCTGACAAGATGCATGACCCAATCAGCGTTAGGAACAGCTGAGCGCGCTCAATGCTGCGTTCGATCTCCTCTAGCTACCGGCGATGTCTTTTTGTTTCGTTCTTGCTAATTTTTTAACTGTTGAATTTTTTTAGGGTAGAAAATGTTTTTTTCTTCTTTCATCAGGAAAATATCGCAAATTGGAATTTAAAAAAAAAAAAAAAAAATCAACGGTGTACTGAGGAACCGAAAGGAGAACCGCGATATAGAGAGGGAACACTGTGCAGTTAAATTTGGTTTCTGGCTGAGTAAACTCTTTAAATACATTTGTTTTTATTAAATGCAAAACTGAGAAGCAGAAAAAAAACATGATAGGAACTTGCAACTAAATTCTCTATTTTTCTCATTACAGATTTTCCTGGCAATAATTTGGATTAAAAAGGCTGGTTTATGGCTGAATGACCCAAGCCAAGATGGTACAGAACTTCTCTGTCTGCGAGAAGTTTCAGATCACCCTGCTGCCTTCCGTGTATGGCATTGAGTTTGTCGTGGCCCTGACTGGGAATCTGTTTGCCCTGTGGCTCCTGGTGGTCAGAAAGCGAATGAGCTGGCACACCGGCGTGATCCTGTCATGCAACCTGGCCGTCAGCGACCTTCTCTACATCCTCACGCTCCCGCTGCTCATCGTCTACTACTGGCTCGGGAAACAATGGAGGTTCGGCCCAGCCACCTGCCTAATGGAGAGGTTCCTGTTCACCTGCAACCTCTACGCCAGCATCTTCTTCATCATGGCCATAAGCGTGAACCGATGCGTGGCCATCAAGTGGCCCTTTTTCACACGCTCCCATGTGAAGCCCACCCTGGTAAAAACCGCCAGCGTCATCATCTGGATTGTCGTAACGGCGATTTCAAGCCCGGTGTTTAAATTTTCCGGCGTTTGTCAAAGCGTGCACACGGGTCAGCTGCTGTGCGTGTCCTTCTGTGAGCACAACCCCGGAGATGCCCGCAGTCACTTGATTTACAAGGTCTTCCTGGCTGCGTTTGGTTGCCTTCTTCCCTTTTTGGTGACTTTCGTTTCCTACTGCGTGGTGAGTTGGGTGGTGTGGAAAAATAGCAACGTGACCCCAACGGAAAAACGCAAGGTGGCTCTGTTGGTGGCGTCGGTGCTCTTGATTTACGCCGTTTCGTTTGTGCCCTATCACGTCTTCCAGATCTATCACCTGTATCTGAGGATCCATTATCCCAACACCTCCAATTGCTGGGTTTACAACATGTATCAGGTGTCCAAAGGCCTGGCCACTCTGAACATGTGCATTCACCCTGTGCTTTACATGGCTTTGTTCGACAGTATGAGAGTGGCTTGTTGCAGGCGAGGCACAGAGGGAAACAAAGGAAATGATGTAATGATGAGAAGGTAAATTTGGAAATCCTAACTATGTTCGATTTTTGGGGGTGGGGATTATTACTTAATTCTGTGAATATCTACTGTATATCTGCGTATTAGGTCATAAAATTGAAATGCGTTTGTGGTCCGATTTTACTGCTTAAGTGAAATAATTTAATGATATCTGTAATATTTTGATATTATTTTGAAATCAACAATACAGGCAGTCATGTTTAAAAGATTACTATAAAGATTACTAAATATATATATAAATTTTTTTTTACTGTTGTTGTTATGTCTTCATATTTTTTACAATTTTTTTCGCTAGTTTCGCTAGTTTCGTGAGTTTCGTGAGTTTCGCTATTTTGTATAAAATTATTAAAAATGCTTCCATGGGTGAAGTTTGAACCTTAATGATCGCTCTTTAAGTGAATATCTATATCTGCACATTACGTCATAAATTTGAAATGCATTTGTGGTCCAACTTTACTGGTTAAGTGAAATAATTTAATAATTTAGTATCAACAATACAGGCATTCATGTTTAAAAGATCAACTATAAAACGTTTTTTTTACTGTTGTTGTTATGTCTTCATATTTTTTACAATTTTTTTCGCTAGTTTCGCTAGTTTTGCTAGTTTCGTTATTATGTATAAAATTATTAAAAATGCTTCCATGGGTGAAGTTTGAACCTTAATGATCGCTCTTTAAGTGAATATCTATATCTGCACATTACGTCATAAATTTGAAATGCATTTGTGGTCCAACTTTACTGGTTAAGTGAAATAATTTAATAATTTAGTATCAACAATACAGGCATTCATGTTTAAAAGATCAACTATAAGAAGTTTTTTTTACTGTTGTTGTTATGTCTTTTTTTCCGCTTGTTTCGCTAGTTTTGCTAGTTTCACTAGTTTCGCTAGTTTCGTTATTATGCATAAAATTATCAAAAATGCTTCCATGGGTGAAGTTTGAACTTTAATGATAGCTAAAGTGCATATGCATATATTCATGTATTTTTTAATAAACACATCTGCTGGTATTCTACATATACATACACAGTACTGCATATTTAAGGTACACGTTCATTATTATCTGTGAAGTCTCCGTTTTTCACCTTCCCTTTTTTGTGTCAGTGCCGAGATGCTGTCATTTTACAGAAAGCTAAATGACTGAGCACAAATCAATTTGGCAGCTTTATTTTTAATAGAAGAGTACGAACCCGATGAAATGTTTAGTAAGCAACGGACTACATCGGCGTTTGTCACCTCTGGGTGGTTTGTGACCTTTCTAAATCCTCGTTTGGTTTTACAGAAGTGAGAAAATGAAAAAAAGTGTTAGTTTACTGTCTGCATATCTCAATTTCCTCTGTGACTCAGCATTGACACGGGGGCAGACGTTTATGCCACTGCACGAAAATCAGCACAAACAAATCATGTACAATTTGCGGACGTTGCTGTTGTTTGTTGCTTTAACATTGATACAATGATGTATTTTTTTATCCCTGGATGTTACTGGATTGTCAGTGAAATAAAATGTGTATGTTGTGTATATGCAAACTGGTCAGTATAATGTATAGTGTAACTGAGGAATGTCCAGAAATGGTAAGGTGATACCCTGATTTCTATAGCACTATGCTATGTTTCACTCTTATACCTTGTGCTTTTGGCTGCTAGGACAAATAAAAGGCTTCTTATTCTTAATCTATATACCTATATCTGTGTGTTTTCAATGTATATACTGTATATATGTCAAATGTTAAAAAATAATGAAAATTATAATGATTAAAATAAATACATAAAACGTACACAAATTCTAATTCTTCAAGGAGTAAAAAGTATATAAGCTGGTTAGTAAAAGCCACCAAGAAAAATAGTTTTTATGCATTTTAAGCATAAATATGCTTTATATATATATATATATATATATATATATATATATTTATATATATATATTTATATGCATAACGTATTTTATGGAAATACACATAATATATAATATATATACATTATACATGAATATTACATATATATATATACCTTCATACACACAATATGCACATTATACTGTTTATCCTACTGTTTATATCACGTACATACATACAAAATGTATAATAAATGTCACTCACATAATTTGAAAACCTGGAGGGGAATAGTTCGTCACAACGATGGGACTCTTATTGTGACGTCCAGCGGAACTTGGCTTTTGTTGTAGCGGGTCTGAGCCGGAAACGCGCGGGGAAGCTCTTCCTCTGTCAAACACTAGCCGGGAGAATGCCGTCGATCGAATACGACGAGTGAGTTTAAAAAACCCTTTACAGTGAATTATACATCTAATGTTTAACATCGTTTTATAATTCCCATAAACCAATTGTCTCTTCAACAGCTCCAAGCCCAGTTGGGCCGACCAAGTGGAGGAGGAGGGAGATGAAGGTAAAGAGCTACTCGTCTCCGTTAGCCGATGCTAACACATTAACGGTAGAAGAGGCCGACAAAGCAGGGTTTATTTTCCACGTGGTTTTTCCGCTCAGTAGACAAAACTTGATCTTTTTGTTTTCAAATTCAGTTAAATATACAGTTATTTCCATGAAATATTATGTTAATTTTAACGGGTTTCGCAGGTCTTTTGGGCCGTTAGGGTTGTCACGTCAGTGTAGAATGCTAAGGGTTAGCTTAATGTAAGTGTCTGCGGTTGCTAACAGCGGTCTAAATCAAATGTCTTGACGTTTACGCATTTAGCAGACGCTTTTATCCAAACCGACTTAAAGAGGAGAAATAACATTATCAAGCATGTGGTTCTCTGCTTACGAGGCAGGCGCGGGTTAACCGCTACACTATGACTACGGTGCAGTACTTTAATATAAAAAGTACTTTATCCATATTTTCTGAGGAAAGTAAGTAATTTATATTAACCTAATTTAATTTGAGAACAGAGAAAGAGAACACTACAGTTTAAGTTGTTGAACGCAGTTCTTTTAAGTGCTGTCACTGTGTTGATGTTGAAGTGACACTTCGAGATAGAAAAAGTTGTGATGTGATGTTGCTTTCTCTTAACAGGAACACTGCCATCCCCCAAGGAAACTATCAAAGGGAATATCAAAACTATCACCGATTATAAAATAGATGAAGAAGATGGAAAAAAGTACAAGGTAACACCACCGATGTCCAGTTAATTCGTTGTTGCTATGACAATTTTTTTTTGTTTGAATCAAACTATACAGCAAAATGATCTGTTCCTTAAAGTGGTGATTAAATTGATGGCGTTGCATCTCATTGTTCAAAAACAACACTTCAATCTGAATTCTGAATCATTTTACATCCTTGTCTTGCAGATCGTTCGAACCTTCAAGATCGAGACAAGGAAGGCCTCAAAGGCTGTGGCCAGGAGAAAGGTCAGCTGAAATCCTTCTTGATAAATAAGCTGAATGTACTTGAAATTGGTCCTAAATTTGTTATTTTTTGTAAGTTTCAAATAATATATGATATTCGTTTGTCAATATAGAACTGGAAGAAATTTGGCAACTCTGAGTTCGATGCACCGGGTCCAAATGTTGCCACTACCACGGTCAGCGATGACGTCTACATGACATTCATTTCCAGCAAAGAGGTGAGGACAAGAACTTTTTCTGCTCCCCCCCCCCCAAATGCTTTTTTTTGTTTTGTTTACTTTTTATGGCTTATGACCAAGAATTGTGTCTCTTTCTCTTGTAGGATCTCAATGCTCAAGACCAGGATGAGGATCCCATGAATAAGCTGAAAGGACAGAAGATCGTTTCCTGTCGTATTTGTAAAGGCGACCATTGGACCACCCGCTGTCCTTACAAGGACACTCTGGGGCCAATGCAGAAGGAGCTAGCCGAGCAGCTGGGTCTTTCCACTGGAGACAAGGACAAGCCTTCGGGATTAGGTGGGCTTGATCTCACAATTTCATGTAATAAATCAGTCTGCTAATACTTTAGGCATTAATTTGTGTACCACTTTCCTAATCCAGCGGAACCCGAGCCAGCCCAGCCCGCCCAGAGCAAAACCGGGAAATATGTGCCACCAAGCCTGAGAGATGGCAGCACACGGCGAGGAGAATCCATGCAGCCCAACCGCAGAGGTGGGGGTGTGTGTTTCTGTTTTTGAGGGATTCATACACATTCATTGTATATGAAGGCAAATTCAGGAGCCTAACTTGTTCGTTGTTGTTGTTGTATGTATTTCACTCTGACAGCTGATGACAATGCCACCATCCGTGTGACCAACCTTTCGGAGGACACCCGTGAGACAGACCTGCAGGAGCTTTTCAGGCCTTTTGGCTCCATCTCAAGGATCTACCTGGCCAAGGATAAGAATACTGGACAGTCAAAGGTCGGCACTCTTATGTAGGACAAAATAGCGTGCGTTTAGAACCAATCACAGTTTTTTTTTTAACCATCCAATTGCCTGAAGCACCTTAAGACTAAGCAGAATAGAGCAAATAGAGACAGATAAAGATCAGAGGGGATTATCAGCAAATAGTTTTTAATATCATTGACCCTCTCCCTCTAAAAAAACAAATTTAAGGCACACTAATAACTTGCCATTAACTATGTTATGGTATTTGCTGCAAAACAGTACTTAATTCTAAGTAGCTGTAGGGGTAATGAAACTTAACCTAACAACAAATAAAACGTATTGTCTGCCGAGTCTTTTGTTATCTGTTGTACTTGAAATAAAATGAATTATGTTATTCATTGTTTTCTTTTTTTTTTTTTTTTTGTTTCCTGCAGGGTTTTGCCTTCATCAGTTTCCACCGTCGGGAGGACGCCTCCAGAGCTATCGCAGGAGTGTCAGGATTTGGATATGATCATCTTATTCTTAATGTTGAATGGGCCAAGTAAGTTAAAGGGTGCTTTCTGTCACACAACATGAAAGATCAATGCAGGTTGTTGTATGGCTGTTGACTTCTTCATTTGTTTGTCTCTGCAGACCATCGAACAACTGAGGAGTTCGTCGGAATCTGTTTCAGGATGAGGCCAGATTTGATCGCATAGTAAAGTTTGGCAATGACCCTAGCAACATAAAATAAAAAATGTTAAAATCATTGTTTTGTCCCACTTTTGTTCTGCCTCATTTAAACAAACAGCTGTCGAAGTTGATATATCAAGAAGTTAGGAGGTTCACAAAACATATAGAAATCCATATATTTAGAACTATTCTAAAAAAAAATAACCTGGAGATGTTTCCACATGCAGGATAGCTCAGTCCAGTTGAATTTTAATGGCTCCAGCTCAGAGCAGCTGCAAATAGATGTTACACATAGATGCATAAATTTTATTGATCCCGGCCTGGGAAATGAAAGAATATTTGTAGAATGAGGATGAAAAGATGAGCTCAATGAACATCTCTTACAATGCAGCTATGATGTTAATGGCAACTTCAAACATATTGGTTTCTTTAACTGTGGATTGCATGGCTTGTTACCAAAAACTTGTCAGATTTCACAACTGTTGCACTTCAGAAATATATTAAGTTTTTTTAAGCATAGTTTTTTTTAATGGAAGGATAATAGGGAATGTATGTTTGATAAGTAACAGTAGAAATATATTAAGGATTTGGCATAGTTTTTTTTTAAATGGAAGGATATTAGGGAATGTATGTTTGATAAGTAACAGCTCAGAGTTCCACTACTACACCCACTTCACTGAGGGGCATCTATGTCAAACTTAACGCTTATTAAAGGTAAAAAAAAAAACAAACAAACCCAAAACAAAGGAGTGTTCAAAATGAAAATACATTTTGAAATGTAGATACAGGATATACGCCATTATACATGTTAATATTGCTCAATAGTACACAAAAAATGACGTCAGACATTATTTTAAGTATGTTTCTTGAATTTCCGGTTGTTTTTCCTTATACCAATATTACCACTTATTGTTATTATTTTTTTAAATTTGAGCCAGAATACATAAACGTGCTCTTTGTTTGATTGAATGTTATTTAAAATATTGATGACAATGTTTGTCATTACTACAAGACATTACACCCAGAGCCATTGTTTTTGCTTACATGTCACTAAACGTGATATTTAAAAGCGTAACGAATCATTACGATTTCATTCGTTTGTTTTCAACAAAGTATATCTCATTAGTAAACAACACACATATCATTTCCGCTTACACCGGTTTCTACACTGAACGGAAAAAGAGGGGTTTCTACGAACTGGTTGTTCCAATTATTAAATTCGATTGGTAAAGAAATAAAGCCTCGTGACTTAGAACGTTATATTACACATTATTTATAACCAAATATTTTTTTCTGTGCAAATAATGAACCTGTTAATTTAATTAATAATCGAGGAAGAAAAGTTTTCACCCCCAGAGCTGTCAGGTAGTACGGTCCAAAACACCCCGCGAAAAGACGGCCCGCGCGCCTCTACAGCTTTTATAGCGTTCGCTGGCAGATCAGCAACGCATGCAGCACAGAATCAGCAACACCAAAGTTGCGTTTTTTAAACCCCACGGTTTTAACTGGTTTTTAAATGTAACATAGCATTTTCTTTTTAAGCAAATCCTCTCTTTTTTTACGTCAAGCCGTTTCAACCATGCCAGCCAGGACCTCCGTGTGTCTGCCAGAGGATGTCAGGAGAAGGTAACGGTTTACAACTAATTGCTATCAACCCAAATAATTAGGACAGCGTTAGTAATGTATCGTGTGACCACGGAGGCTACTGTTTGCTGTGACCTATCGCGGCCTCGTTCCTCTGTCAAAGACTGAGAAGTGCAGCTAGCGTTAGCTTGTTAACTAATGTATCCAAGCACATTAGCCTCTGTTTTAGCTTTAGTCCGTTAGCATTTTAACCTGTCAGTAGATGGAGCAGCAGCGCGTATGGATTTGGCGCCACACAGGAACAGTTGTGACTGTATTGTTTCCTTTTCCCCCCACTAGGGCACTTTTTCCATTTGGTTTAAGGTTTCTCTGTCCAATAGGGACATTTGGTGAACGGGTTATTTATGTGACAATGTAACGACGTTGTTTTTGTGTTCTGTGTTTGCAGGCTGCAGTTGTTGCACAAGGATGAAGGTACAGAGGAGGTAGGTTTCCTCTCTGATCAAGGCTACAAGCGTTTGTGCCACAGGTGGCCTTCCACAGCTGTTCACAATTACTTAGTCTTCTGAAGGCCCTTTAGTACCAAGGCACGCACGGCTGTATACTTGGTCTACTCAATTGGAGTGACCTTACTTAAATTATGTCCAACAAATTATCGTGTAAATCTCAATTATACATATTGAAGAGATGGCATCACCTGGCCATAATACACTTTTATTGCAGAGGAAAGTTAATAATCTGTCAGTGAAATGACAACGCTATTCGAATTTATCAAAAAAAAAGTAAAGGTAGCGTCATTGTAGGTATGACACATTGAATTTATCAAAAAAAAAAAAGTAGAGGTAGCGTCATTGTAGGTATGACACATCAGGTAGAAATGTGCAGCTACGAGTGCGAACACCTTTCGCTTGTTTATCAAAGTGATACATTGTGAGTTGGGAAACTGGACTCATGATCATAATCAGATTGTAATTCAGTTTTTTTGTTTCTGACATACATTTTTTTTAACTGTTATTTCAGGATCAAGTCAAACAAAAGCTCAGGTTGGTGCAGGACTTTCTGCACGATGATGCTCAGGACCAGCTGACCAGCCTGGAGGAAAAGATGAAAAGCTCAGAGATATCCATGGTTGGTGAACTCTCTGCCTGTATGAATGTTCGACACAATATGAACGTCACTGTTCTTAGGTTAAATTTCAATGTTTTGCGTGTTCTCTGCTCCAGGATGTGTACATCTCTAAAGTCAAGGGTTTGCTGGGTAAAGAGCTAAATCTTGAAAATGGTTCACACTTGGACGCGGTAGAGCAGAACGGAAAGGCAAATGGGGTAAAAAACGGTTCAGTCAAAGAGGAGAAAAGTGAAGATGTGTCCATGGATTCGCAAGAGGACGAAGAGGAGGCTGTGAAGTCTCCAACGGCGCCTAAAGGGAAGAGTGGACGTCGGAGCAAGGCAAACTCTGACACAAAGAGTAAGTCTGTGGTGATTTATTTATCATCGTGTTTAAAAATGACTGAGACTGACTTAAAGTGAAATGTTTTCATTAGAGTCTCCAGCCAGCTCCAGAGTTACGAGAAATGGAGGAAAACAGCCCACCATCATGTCCATGTTCTCTAAAGTGTGCGTAAACTCTGTTAGTAGTTGAGAATCCATCTTTGAAAAAAAAAAAATCAAAAGCAGTGCCTGAATTTTTATTTTTATTTCTTGTAGTCAGAAGCGCAAATCTGAAGACTTGAATGGAGAATCAACAAATGGGCAAAATGAGCAAGAGTCCGAGAAAGAGAAGGAGGAAGATGTTGAAGAGGAGGTGAAAACTGTCAAAATGTTTTACTTAGGCTCAGCTATTAGTCAAATAATTGTTAAAAAAAACAGC